TCCAAAGACTGTTTCTAGTTTCACTTTCAATTTAGGACTTAGATCAGAATGTTCACTCTAAAGGGACTGATGAGAGGAGGAAAGGAGAATTGAAGATAATCATATATGTCGATGATTACAAGCTTATTACACAAAACAATTCTAAATCATCTTTCTAAAAGTAACCTTTTCATTTATTTATTTTTTGAGAGAGAGAATTTTGCTATAGGGTACGTGACATCGCGGGAGAGACAGAGTTAGAGAGAAAGAAAGGGAAAAATCACCCTCTGGGTGGGATGGCCATGCTGCAGTCCCTTTTCTGTCCTCTCCAGATTTCACACACACTTGTACATGTGTCTGTCATGAGTTTTGAGGCACTGGGACTCGAACTGCAGTTGGCCTTGTGGAAGTCCAGCAACTTAACAACTATGCCACCTGCTGCCCCCTAAATAAGTTTTCTCTAACTCTCTCTAAAATTATTTAAAAACAAACAAACAAACAAAAAAGTTCCTAAGATATAGGTTTAAAAATATAGTCCATTTGTTCAGAAAACTTTTATTAAATTTTCATTACATGAAAGACAGTGTATTAGAAAATGAAGAAAACATGTACTCCAAGAACTTGCAATTGTGTAGTAGGTAAGGAGAAAATACATTTATGTAGAAAACTACAAAAAAACAAAATCAATTATCCCACAAACTTTAGCCCTGTCACTATTTGAGAACAAAGTTAAGTAAATCTTAAATGCTTGAATTCAATTAACAAATTACAAATATACCTTTATTCACCAATCTTTTGTTATAAAAACAAGATCTTTTCTCTGAATGTAAATTTAGTGATCAAACTAATGTTTTCTTTAATAACTTTAAAATACTTTACAATTAGAACTTGAAAATGCTAGTAAAGAAATTTGAGCACAGGGCTGGCTCATACACAATGATTAAAGTGCTGTCTGTAGGGTGCTGGATTCCACGTGACTAACTACAGTTTAAATCCTGGCCCCACCAGGCAGATATGCATGTGTGCCCAAATCCTGACAGGATGAAAGATGGAGGAAAAAAGGAAAACAATATGACCACATCACAGTGGGGATGCTTCTCTCTCTCTTTGTCTCTCTCTCTCTTTCTCCTGTCTCTCTTTTTCTTGTGACTGCATGTGCCTTCTGGCAAAAAAAAAAAAAAAAAATCTGAGTATAGAATTCTTTAGATTTTTTTAAGTCACCATACCCTCTATCCACAAAACAATCTTATTTTCAGTATAATTTATTCCAAAGCAAAATTTTTAGTAATTCATTTTTGCTAAGTCTTTCTAGAGCATTCTGATTAGTTTTCATAGAAACACTGAGTGTTTTAATATATTTCACATTTATATAATGTTTAATATAATTTTTAACTATTCCAAAAGCACGACAGTCACGTATAAGTTTGGAAACACACATATGACTCACACACCTGAATAGTAGGAGCAGTAATGTAGATGCATTTTTGAGAATAGCCTGTTAGAATGCAGAAGCATTGTCCAATTCGTTTTATAGAGAATGGAAAGCATTGGTCCAAAGTTACTTCTTGTGCATTCAACATGCCATTATCTTACGCTGATTTTAACAAAAGTCATATGAGATATTTATTGGATATTAGTAACAGCTTACTGCCTGAACCAAGTGCCAGGAAGAAATTAAACAGAGGTGGATGAAAGCATATTTCTGTTTATAAGATTTATAAACTTCAGTGGTTCTCTAGTTTAGATAGAATTTTATTTTACTTATTTATTTAAAATATTGATTTAATTTATTATTATTTTTATTTTTATATTTGTTATAGAGCACATGCACTCACCAGAGAGAGAGAGAAAGAGAAAGTGAGAAAGCAAATCCCCAGGTCTGGGACTCAGCTGGGGTCGGCCATCTGGAAGTCCAACACCTTAACCATGATGCCACCTGCTGGTCCCTTTTTATTCATTTTTTTACCACTAGAGTCCACTATGGGAAGCTCATTAAGTCAGATGCTCTGCTATGCATTTTGAGACAAATAGGGCACAGATATTTAGTTTATCCATAAATTGCAATCTTCATTTTTTTATTCAGTATCACAGTGATGTGTTTCTAAGTTATTTTCTAAGTTTTTTTACTCCTGGTGACCTTCTTCAATTCATATAGGTGAGATGGTCAACATGTTTTGTACAATATACTGACTTCACTTGTTCCTTTGGTAACACATTTCTTCCAGAAGTAGCCTGACTGTTGGCACTTCATTCATTTTAAGACTTCTGAGATTATGGAAAGTGAAGTGGGATCTTGGTATTATCCCATCTTTGAGAACTATGGTTTGATAGTGGAGAGATTTCAGACGCCCTTCTAGGCATTTTTGTCCCAGTGAGATCTTAATGTAGATCCCTGAATCAACTTTCTTGGGACTCAACTAAGCAAATTTAGTCATCTGACTTGGTAACAATTTATTTTACCCACTCATTTCAATATTCTTAAGCGTTTTTTTTTTTTTTTAACACAGCTGGTCATGTTCTCCTTATGTTCTTACCTTGTTAGATAAACAGATCTGTTAGATGTGGTGTAATCTTTAATGAATATGTTTATTCTATCAAAAAAGAAACAGAAAAATAGAAACCACTCTAAGTCTTATAAAGAAAGATTTTAACATAAATTAACATGAGTTAAAGTTAGGAGACAGCTATTACGTTAACCAACTAGAAGGTTGAAAAACAATTTGGAAAAAAATGGCTAAGGTCCCCATCAATGAGAAGGACAGTAAAGTATGGGATCTAGGCTTTGGAATTCAATAGGTCTATATCCCTTTTTCAGATCTCCTCCTTTAGAATAAAGACAGGTCAATGAAATGATCTATGTCTCAGTTACCTTCATTTCAGGGGAAAAAAATATTTATTTTCTGGTGAAAATCATTTACTATTGCTGTTAAAATTGGGTAGAAAATGTATATTTTTAGTAATATAAACATATTGTGTTTGTATACAGAGAGTAAAATTATTAGTAAAAGTGATATGGAAGGCCCCTGAATTCATGAATAACTCAGGGTTGATAGGTGCCTGAAGTTTCTACCTTCCAGCAAACTTGCTGCTCCACCCCAGAGCTACAGGGTAACCTGAAAACTTTGAATAGATTAATACATTGAAGAGATTAGTACATTAAATAGATGAGACTTCCTGCATCTCTGCCTCCTCCCTTTGATGCTATATAGGGCAGGTTTTGAGCCATTCCCCATCCCAAGATCTCCCCTTCCCCAATTCCCCCATAAAAGACCCTGTCCAACCCCCAACTGGGGCCAGAGATTCAGAGTGCTACTCCTCCATGCCCACCAACATAATAAACAGTTCTCCTAATTTCTCCAAGTGCTGCTTTCCATTCCTCAGTGTCTGGTTTTCTGCAACAAAGATTAACAGAAATTTTAATCATATTATGAGCCCCACAGGGCTCAGTCAGCCACACTACAATATCCTTCCTAGTCCTTCAGCCCATCAAAATCCTAGGTGCACACACATGTCTCCGGCATGTTTTCAGGCCAATTGGGCAGTGGACATAAATCAGAGTCAGTGTGTGGCTTCCAGCTCTGTTGTCTGATATGCTACTGGTTGTGCCACAGAGGATGGGTCTTTTACTAAATATTTAACAAACTTCCAAGTTATCAAAATGTAATGTATAAAAGGCTGAACAGAAACCATTGTTTCACTTTCACTATTGGAAAGCTTCTTTGAGAAAAAATAATAAATTGCTTTCTTTTCCTTTATCTTTCTCACTCTCCTCCCCAAATAATAGAATTTATGTGGCTTTGTTTTTTTATTCTCAATTTCTAGTTCTTGACTATTAGTCACTTATGTTCTATGCTTGTGACATCACAAATCTCTTCCCACAGAGAGAGGGGCTTATGATGTCTTAATTAAATACATTGTGATGTTTGAACATTTCAAGAATAAATAATCATTCTGGGAGCTTATCTAAATACAAGTGAAAAATAAAGCATACTGTACATAAATGAATAAATTACATGCAAAAATAACAGATAATATGTAAAGGACATATAATACCATCAATTTTTCTAGGACTATTTCAATCATGGTTATTCAATATTTCAGATAAACAAGAATAAATCCATTAAATATTGCTGTGTCACTTTTGACCCCAATGAACATTTACTCTAAATCCCTAATTCACCAATGTTCCCAAGAACTGGTTTTGGGATCATGTTATTTAGATTCCTTTTGGGGAAAAAATAAATGCATAGAAGATCCCCCCCCTCCTCCCAATGAGGACACATATTATTTACATGTAAAGCATTTTAAGGCCAACTTTAACCTCAAAATCACATATCCATACACCTATTCCATTTTCATTGACTTCACTTAAACTTAAATGTATGGTTTGTTAAGCAAAAACAATAAAGAAATATTTACCATGTCTATTACATGTAACACAGAGAAACAGCTTTTAATGCAAAAGCATCAATAAATCCCTTCAACATTATTTTTCACTATAAATACAGGTATCAAAATAATCCTGAACTCATTTTTGATACTACTAGTAGTCAACACCCACATCACTTCAAAAATTAACCCAATTTGGGTCAATTTTCATTGTACCTGCTACTTTAAACAATTTTGACTGTAGCTCTTTCACTAAGCGAGATGGATGAAGTATGCCATTTCTGTTTTTCCTTCTTCAGAATTTTTTTACTTTTCAGAAACATACATGCTTACACCACTGCCTTCTGACACTTTTTGCCATGCTATCATCTTGAAAACTGGAATTCTATTTCAAGTACTCTTGGCTTCCATGGTAGTACCTTACCAAGAGAAAAAAAAAATGCTTTGTTTGTCCTCGTGTTACCTGAAAATATAATGAGTATATATATTTATTAAATGTATTCTTACAAATGTGTAGTCATGTTTAGCCACTGAAATTATTTTACTTAATAAATGGGTATTTTGGACTATGATATTTAATCAATACATTTATATGAGTAGAAGATTTAAGACAAGTTTGCGAGCCACTAAAATTAATTGTTGTATGTTTGTCCTTCTGGTGGCTGTGGAAGCTTCATATTTTCTTTGGACGTCTTTAGATATTGTAGCTCTTGAAGGGTGACTTTAATGCTGTATGAGTTTGCCATTTTACAAATACTAGTATACTCCATCTGTCGACCATCCCACTGGAATTATTTATTGCATTCATATTAATTTTTGTTACAAATCTAACTGGTAGAGGAACTTCTGGGTATTTAGATCCATATTCTACTTTCAGGCTCTATATTCTGTTTCCATAATATGTCCTTGGTGGCCCAATAACCATGCCTGTCCACCTTGTAAGCATCATATCGTCATCATCTTCAAGGCCCCAGTTCACTGTACCATTGCCTACTCCTTTTTGCCCTTCTTCAAGTTTCTCCAGCAAATGAAAATTACAAAGAACTTTAACTCCTGTGGAGACCTCCATCTTCTCCTACAGCCCCTAGCCATATTTTTCTTAACATTGAGAGATATAAAAAATATTACTGGGGTCAGCAGGTGTCATGGTGATTAAAGGCACTGGACTCTCACATGGCCGACTGTGGTTCAAGTTCCAGACCTGGCAGCCTATTTTCTCCCTTCTCTCTCTCCCTCTCTGTCTTTCTCTGGTCAAAATAAAATTAAAAAATAAAATTAAATAAAAGAACCCTTAAAAATAAGTAAATAGTACTTAACTTTTTTGTCAATTAACTTAAGTCATCTGACCTATTTGACAGATCTTTTTTATTTTAGAGGGTTTTTTGTCATAGGGCTAGTATGCTTACTGGAGAGAGAGACAGAGATAGAAACAGTGAGAGGGAAAGTGAAAAATCACTCCCCTAAGAGGGATAGACACCTCAATCCCTTCTCTTCCATTCTCCTCCTGGATTTTTGGGCACTCCTGTACATGCACACAGCTTGATTTTCAAGCCACAAGGTCCAGGACTCAAACCATGGTGTGCCATGTGGGAGTCCGGTGACATAACCACCACGTAGTCTGCTGACCCCCTTTGACAAATCATTTTTAAGCTTTGGCTCTTTAAGGTAAATATACTAGCTAAAGCAGTAAGAACAGAAAGTGGCTTTTTCTGGCTAACTTATCATTAAAAACAGCTACATGACCCAACCTGTGTAATAGAGACTACATAGAAAAACCACTGAAATTTACAAAACACTTATTTTAATTCATTTATTTTTATAATGTTCAATTTAGATCATTGTAAATAAAATGAGCATCTTCGAATTATTTGCTAATGTGCCTTTCTTTCAAACTTGAGATCCCAGGAAGTTTCAAAGATTGAGATGCAGTCATTCATTTTGCTGTTCCTTTATGAAACCTCAGCTCTGTGTATCTGTATACACTCTGAAAGTCTCCAGATCTAAAGATAATCAAGATCACATGACCGAAGAATGGGCCAATTGCAAACAGATCCAGGATCTATCACTGGAAAGCTCATGCCCTCCTTGTTGAAAGCATATAATCATTTTGAAGTATCTTCTTTGTTTTTTTATTTTTTTTAAGAGAATGTCAAAAAAGCAGTGTCTAATTTTATGTGCCTGGGAGTAGCTATCTAAGCTTCAGGCAATACAAACGCTGCTATTACTGGAGAGTAAAAACTCTGCATAATTAACTAACATCATCAGCCTTACAGTTCCTGTAGAATGCGGTAAGTTCCTTGCCTGAAGGCTGCTCTCATCCTAGCAAGTCTGTTTACCCTGTCCAAGATTAGATTAGTTTAATTATTATGAAAAAGACTGCTAAGATCTTACAGCCTAATTATGCAAATGTTTCTAAATGTTCACAAAAGTAATTTATTTATTTGGAGATAAATGAATCTGTTTTGTCATAAAACAGATTGCAGTCCTGGCAATGTACAAGCAGGGTTATGTAGCCTCGGGCAAATCTTCCACCACAAATATCAGTGGGATCCCTAGATTACAACATCTTAAAATACATAAATGTTTTTAGCAGGTTTTTATTGTTTTTGTAAATTATAGTAATCCCAGAAAGAACTATCACAGGTTTAATACTCACCAACCTTGTTATGAAAACATGGTTTCTCAGCAGAAGCATTTAAAAGATGCTAACAGCTAAAACATTCCTGGTAGACCTATTAAGATACACCTGTTTTATTATGCTTCAGAGCAGATATCGTCACAACACTGTTGTTTCCCCCCATTCCTTATAGTATCATAGTTTAAGTAACTCATAAAGGAAAATGCTGGAAAATGATAGTCAACTATATATACAGGTCATATTATCTATGTAAATTTACCTGTAAAAGTAGTATTAACATTTATATAAGTGAAATCAATTCCTAGATCTGAAAATGACTTTCAAATAAGCTTCTAAATGACAATTCCTGGAAATGTACTTTAGTTGACGCTTGCAACCTTGAATGTATACATTTAAACACTACCACATCTCTTATTACCAATATCAATAATATTCTTAAACAGTCATGTCAAATGAACCTAAGGTGGGTTATCTAAAGCCTCAGATTTTTGTTGTTGTTGTTGTTGTTTCTTTAAGAGAGATTTTTGCTTTATAGCACTCACCAGAGAGACAGAAATGCAGAGAGACAGAAAGCAAGAAAACACTCCTCAGGGGCTATGGCCACACTGCAGTCCCTTCTCCTTCACTTTCTCAGCATGAATTTCAAGACACTGGGTTTGGGACTTGAATTGTAGTCAGCCATGTGGGAGTCCAGTGATGTAACCATTATGCCATCTGCTGGTCTTAAGAGCTTCAGATTTTTGACATCAGAAAACTTTAGATAGCAAATTTGCTTAACCAGCTGTGGTGGCACAGTTGTAGTGTGATGCTAGAGTCATTTGGAAGATGGAGGTTTAATCCCTGGGTCAACTTTCACTTTCTGGGTCAGGTTCTGGCTGGAAAAGCAGGCACCTCATCAAAGCATGACACCTCATCCTCTTCTCTTTCTCCCTGTCTTTCTCTCATAAAATAAATAAATACAATTTTAAGAAAAAGAAAAAAAAAAAACTTCTACAAATTAACAAAGTTTACCTATCTTTAACAAAAAAAAATAATTTAAATGTTAGACTGGGTAGTTGGTTAGGAAACTATACTGGATATGTGTTCTTGTATTTGCTATTTCTTTCAGAAATAGAGTCTACCAGGGAGGGGGAGTGAGGAGCATACCAAGTGGTTATGTCCTTTGTATAGGAAGCCAGATTCCACGTGGCTGATTGCGTTTGGAACCACAGCCTGGTCTCTTGAATAACATGCTGTGTGTATGTGTGCGCATGCTCAAAATTCTGATGTGCTGGAAAAATGGAGATAAGGTTTTGCAGTGTGACCATGCCCCACTGGAGGGTGCTTTCTCTTTCTCTCTGGTGAGCACACTCACCTTCTGGCAACCAAAACAGAAAGGTAATAGAACCTGGGGTTAATCCATTCTCTAGATTGATAGAGAGGGACTATGACTGTATTTCCCTTCTCTCTTACAACAAGGGTGATCACATGACCTAAGTGAAGCCCATAATACCACTTACTGCCAGAAGTTATCAGGGCATGATAATGACATGATGATGATGGCACCATAATAGTAACAATTGCAATATGTCGTAAACGCTGTCATTTGTAGAGTACTTTCTGTATCCTGGACACTGTGCTCAGCTCATTTGTGCATAATCTCATTTAGTCCTCAGCTCCATTTTCATCAATTCTGCAAAGCTTTTAGAATGTGAAATTTGGATTATGAATTGCCTAAAACTCAGCCACATAGATAGGGGTCCTGAAATTATACTGGTCTGTGGCCGACTAGGAACCACGCCACACAGCAAGAGGTGAAGAGTGGCCAGTAATGAAGCTTCATCTGTATTTACAGCTGCTTCCCATCACTTGCATTACCCCTTGAGCTCTGCCTCCTGTCAGGTCAATAGTGGTGGTAGATTCTCATAGGAATGCAAACACTATTGTGAACTGCATATGTGAGGAATCTAGGTTGCGTGTTTCTTTAAAGAATCTAATGCCTGATGATCTGAGAAAGAGCTGAGGCAGTTATGCTATCACCGGGGAGAGGCTGCAAATCCTGCACTAAGGTGACTTGTGTACTTATTTAGTTACTTATTACAATGTATTAATAATAGACATAAAGTGCACAGTAAATGTAATGCACTTGAATCATCTCCAAACCATCTCCTCCACCCACACCAGTCTTGGGAAAAATTATCTTCCATGAAAACAATCCCTGGTGCCAAAAAGTTTGGGGACCACTATGTTAAGAGATAGAGCTCTGAGGACATGGAGCACAAAGACAGGACTAACTTTTACTTATAGTTACAAATGCTAGTGCCATGAATATTGTGTTGCAAGTAACTGATCCTGAAATAGGGAGCTGGCCATTAGCCATATTTGGCCATACCCTGAGGAGCCATATTCTGAACAGAGGACACAAAGCACATAAACTGGAGAAATCCTGAACCTGGAAGCACCCATAGTTACAGAATTCAAACAAATTCTAGAGAAGAGAGGTGCATATTTCAGAATCTGTGTGGAAGTTGCTGTGTATTCTATATTTAAAAGTAAATATGTAAGAAAAATGAGGTGCATGTATGCTGGACAGTTCATGACAAAATGCAAAGCAATATGTTGTTTTGAGATGTTCAGTATCTTTCCATTTATTTTGGTCAACAAAACCGTGCTTTTGTGTGTGGTATTGACTCCATGTTTTAGTTCCAAAGGGATAGTCCTGTCTTCCTGCACCCCTCTGTAGAGACAGGCATACAACCCAATATAGTTACATGCTTCACCAAAAATGTTCTAACAGGTCAAACATGGAAGAAAGCATTTCAAGCTGAGTTTGTTAAGCTTGCTTCTTGGGGGTGCATGACATGGCTATCTTCTCTCTCTCTCTCTCTTTCTCTCTTGCTAGAGCAAGGCAGAAAGACAGGAAGAGAGAGAGTGAGAAAACACTCCCCCATGAGGATGGCCACACTGCAATCCCTTCTCCCCCAGTTCTCCCTCTTGTCAGGATTTTGGGCACACGTGTGCCTTGAATATTTATCAAGCTTCCAAGTTCAAGGTTCAAATAGCACCATTGGTCACGTGGGATTTAGTCACCCCAACCACCACGCCACTGGCTGGCCCTCCATAGTTTCTTTGATTCATTATGAGATAGCCTGTGTGGTGGAGAATCAAGAGGTAGCCGAAAGTGGGTCTAGCCAGGAGTGAGATCAGATCTCACACAGGACTGTTCAAATATCTGAGTCAATACATTCCCTTTCTGCTTAAGCTACCTTCACTTGTAGCCTGAGTCCTGCTGAGAAGAGAAAGCCTGAAGTTCAGATGAAATGAACTAGAAACCCACATTCATTTTCCCCCTATATTTATGTTTGTAACCATTGGTATTAAGTTTAGTTTGTTTTCAGAAGCACAAGTCATATTCATCTCAACTAAGTGTTCTAAACAGAGCAAGTCAAAAT